TGTCAGCTTGCCAGGAGGTGTTTTGGTGGAGCCAAGAGGATGATGTTCTTTTCTCTTTTCCTGGTTTTAGTTTTTGCTTTAGGGCCTGTGTACTTATCAAAGAGAGAGAGAGAGAGGGAAAGTGAGAAATAACCTCCAGGGGGGTGGCCACTCCACAATCGCTTCTCCTCTATTCTCTCTATGGATTATGGGCATACATGCACGTGCCCTGGCATGATATTTTCAAACTACCCGGTCCGGGACTCGAACCATGGTCAACTGTGGGATCTGGCTGCCGTGACCTCCACGCCACCTGCTGGCCCCCCGTGATATTCTTAATGAGCACAGGCCCAGGGAGCCACTGCAGCCTGCACATCAAGGTTCTTTATTTTGTATGTTGTTTTCTTACGATAAAGATAATATAAGCCACATTTAGGAAATGTAGGAAACCTAGGCACTGCAGATGGCGTAATGGTTATGGTACTGGACTCCCATGTAGTCGACAGCAGTTCGAGTCCCCGACCCGGCATTCTGACCTGGCCATATTCCTCTATCGTGGCTTTCAGAGCTGACCTCACAATCCATTTTGCAGGTAGGCTGTTAGGGAACTGTTTGTGTAGTTGGAACTTGATCATTTTCATTTTCACTCTGTAAATCGTTCCACACACACCTCTCTGGTCACTGTGACTGCACTCCTGAGAGTAGGAAGGGGTTTAGAGGCAAATCTGTGTGTTAGACTTCGCTACAGGTGACCAGGTTGCGAACTGGAAGATGCTGGGTGTCGGAAAGTCAAGATGTATTTTTCTGTATTTCTTTGTAAAAATGTGTCAGGACTTTTCTGACGACCCAGTGCTTTTAGCCATTCGTCCCGGGTCACTCTAGAAGTAGAGCTTGGAAATGGCCCTGTCCCGTGGGGTGTCCACAGGATAGAGAATGGGGATTATCTTTGGTTTAAGAAATTGCTCTCCTCGGGGGTGGTGTGTAAGTTAGATCCGAAGTGCAGGGCCGACGGCCGGGGAGTGGTCCCCGCGTGTGGGGATGCACCGCTTCCCAGCGTTAGCCGGTAATCCTCGTGTCGTCCCCAGACGGTCTTCACCCAGCTGTTGCGTGGAGAACACGTCTGTCCTTAGTGCTCCTTCATGCCAGGCCGGCTGTGTGGACGGCTGGACTGTGCCGTGTTAGCAGGTCGTGTCACCAGCCTGACCCCGAGTGGCCGCGGCCTGGCCTGGAACCGGGGTGGAAAGTGAGTGCTGAGGCTGGGGGGCTGGGGCTGGAGGCCATCAGGCTGGGGTGCACATACGCCCCACGCCCCCCTCCTCTCGCTGGCCACAGACTCGGTATTTGGAGGAGTGTGCGAGCGCCTGGCCAGAAGGTGTCGCACGTGTCTTAGCCCCGAGCCCACGGTACTGCAGCGTGATGGGCGGCGAATGGACGGTTCCTGCCTGATGGGGAGAGGCTGGTCTCAGAGCCGGGGCCCTGAGTCCTGTTCCAGCCCTGCTGCAGACTGACTGTGTGACCTGGGCAGGTCACCGCCTCCCTGAGATTTGGTTTCCATGTCTCCAAAGAGAGGACTCCGGTCTCGGTCTACAGAGAGAGGACGCTGGCAGGGTCCGGGGTTATGGAAGAACCCGCCAGGGGCATAGACAGCCTGGGGGAGGGACAGTGAGGCCGGCATGACCCTGTGATGGTTCTGAGAGTCGAGAACCCGACGCAGCAGGGGCTTGAAAACAAAGTGTCAGCAGCCGCTGGAGGGGTGGGGCTCGCTGGGC